ATCTATCATCTATCTATCTATCTATCTATCTATCTATCTATCTATCTATCTATCTATCTATCTATCATCTATCTCTCTATCTAATCTATCAATCTATATTATCTATCTATCTATTTATCTGTCTGTCTGTCTGTCTATCTATCTATCTTTCTTTCATCTGTAGGAAACCTAAGTGCTGTATGCCATCTTGTGGGATAAAATCATAACAACTCAGTGAAAACTATAGAGTGTTAATTTCAGCTCATAATAGGATACAGAATTTGAAAAGAATTCTATGTGGAATGGGCTTTTGTTTATGCTTTGTGCCTTTTCTTTATCTATTTTATGAGCACTGGGCTGTTCTAAAGTTTTCCCTGAGCCTCCAGGTTGGCTCCATCATAGGTGCCCACTGTAACTGGGGTGGGTTGACTTGTTTTTAATAATAACTGTAACAAAAAGCAGGGAGAGTTTTTTAAGTGATATGGTGATATCTGAATGTTGATTTCTGGATTTATAACAGAACTAGAAGGCTAAACTAATTTTAGTTATTTCTCTGAAGGTATTAATTCTGTTCTTTATAATTCAGATAAAGCAATGACACTCTTTAAAAGTTCCTATGTATCATAAATTCTTTTTTAAAAAAATTTCTTATTAGCATTAAAAAAAGTAGTCATGACGTGGTCCTGAGAATAACTAGATTAAAATGGCAGAAAAGGGAAATTGAGGTATGTTGGAGGAACATAGGATGTTTAAAAATAAAATCCAATGCATCCTTTCCCCTGCCACTATCCAATTTAGCATGCTTAGGTCCCCTGGAGTTTCACTATAGCTACTTGTTATGTAGGACTCAAGATGTGTTTCAGTACATTGTGAATTTGTAGTGTGGTCCTAATTTAGTAGGCAAGTCTAACTTCTTTAGTACTATTATGAGCTTTAGCCCTACATGTGCAGATTAGATGAGTAGAGTTTATTCATTCACATACTCATGCATTCATTTATTCAGTAAATGTTATTGGATATCTACTGTCCTAGTGTTCCATATTTGTCTATGCAAATTTTACTTTATAGTGAAACAGTGATAAAATTGTAAGTAGGAAAAAATAAATAAAATATGTATTCTGTTACAGATGTTGCATAAAATTGATATTTTTCAGGGTTCATAGTTATCCATAATGACATAATTAATAGTATGATCACAGATATGAGGAATGAGCCAAGTGGAGATAAAATTGTTGAAAGAGATAAAGAAACTAAGAAATCAGGGAATTAGTAGTGTTATTTATGTGTCTATTGAAACCAATTCAATGAAAAAATAAATCTCTAACCAAATAAAAACCAGTGTACTTCTTCTGGAAGCAAGCCTCATCTTTGTAGGTTTTGAGCTAGACTAAGTTGACCATCTGATGACGATGTGGTAGAAAGGTCTCCAGCATAATAAAAATGTTCTGGATATACTACTATTAAGTTTGTTTCCATCAGAAATTACCCTTAATACCTGATATTATAATACATCAAGAAGAAGTAACAGACTATTTTAACGTTCAATAATTAGGCAAATGTGGCTTATGAAGTGCATTATTATTTTACAGGGAAGTTATACAATATGTGGTGAGAAATGTGTGACTGAGTATAGGAAGATTGCTGGAAAGAGAAATGCAGAAATAGCTACAGAAACAACAATGAAAAAATGTAACTGGACCATTTTACTTAGTGATTAATTTTCTTTTTCAGATCTAATTTCAAACAGTTTAACAGGTAAGGCAGGGAAGGAAGTATTTCCTCCAAGATAAGCATTTTCACTAAACTAAGGTTCATGCAAAAAGTTATACTGGTCCTTCTCATGAAGACAGTTTCCTCTGATGATCTGAGTCTAATGTTCTGAAATACACAAGGACCGACCGCGTTTTTGTTCTTCCCTTTTCAACGCCCTTCTTTTATTATTCCATTACCTCACATACAGTATCCACTTCATAATAGTGACAGTAGTAAATTCTAGCTCTTGAAATAATGTAATGGTTCAAATTAACACCACACTCTTTATAGATAGTCACTAAGCCTCTTCACATTTCCTTATTTTAATCTGCCTTCTGCAATTTTTTCTTCTCACTTCTCTGGCTCAACTTTTCTATTTTGTCCTAGGACCCAAGAAAATCAGACTTCTGGATACACCTTCATCCTCTTGGGCTTCTCAGAATATCCAGAATTCCAGGTAACCCTCTTCCTGGTTTTCCTGGCCATCTATATAGTCACTGTGCTGGGGAACTTGGGCATGATTGCAATCATCAAGATCAATCCCAAACTCCACACCCCCATGTACTTTTTCCTTAGCCACTTGTCCTTTGTTGATTTCTGTTACTCTACAGTAGTTACACCCAAACTGTTGGAGAACTTGGTTGTGGCAGACAGGACCATCTCCTTCACAGGATGCATCATGCATGTCTTCTTTGCGTGCATATTTGTGGTGACAGAAACTTTCATGTTGGCGGTGATGGCCTATGACCGATTTGTGGCAGTTTGCAACCCCCTGCTCTACACAGTTGTCATGTCTCAGAAGCTTTGTTCCATGTTAGTGGCTGCATCGTACTGTTGGGGGATAGTCTGTTCCCTGACACTTACCTACTTTCTACTGGAATTGTCCTTCAGAGGAAATAACATCATAAATAACTTTGTGTGTGAGCATGCTGCCATTGTTGCTGTATCCTGCTCTGACTCCTACGTTAGCCAGAAGATCATTTTAGTCTCTGCCACATTCAATGAAATAAGCAGCCTGATGATCGTTCTTACTTCCTATGTTTTCATTTTTATCACTGTCATGAAGATGCATTCAACTGGGGGGCGCCAGAAAGCCTTCTCCACATGTGCGTCCCATCTAACCGCCATTACTATCTTCCATGGTACAATTCTTTTTCTCTATTGTGTTCCTAACTCCAAAAGTTCCTGGCTCTTGGTCAAGGTGGCCTCTGTCTTTTATACAGTGATCATCCCCATGTTGAATCCCCTTATCTATAGCCTCAGGAACAAGGAAGTGAAGGAAACGGTCAAAAAGTTAGTCAATTACAAATTATTTTGTTGCATATTATAAAGTCTATAAGTTTTAGTTTTTCATTTTTAAGAATATTGTTCAGACTAACCTGAGTTTTAGAATTTTTAACAATTCACATTCTTTTTTCAAAAAGCAAAGCAGTGCATACATTTAATATAACCCCGAGTTAAGTGATTATTCAATCCCTGTTATCCTTAAATTTTAGTAAACTAGCTATAAAATAAAATATGTCATAACAATTAAGTGCCTGATCACTTAAGAAAGTAAGCCCATTTACAATTGTCATGAAAAAAAATAAATTTCTAAACTCAGAGGTTTTCATGTAGAGATTTCTGAGTTAGTACACATTACCATTTGGTTGCTAACGTAAATCTTCCGTTATTTTTCAAAAATAACTATTTTTCATTTGTACACAAGGAGCTTCTATACATTATAAGTACATGTAACGCATATCTCTGCCTCCAATGTCCAGAATATCAGTTGTTCAAATTATATTTGTTAACATAAATTTCATTTGGTCATTTTGTTCAAGATATTAAAAAATGAAAATACATGATTCGGATATAACTATTTCTTAACCTGAATTTGTCATTCATGCCAGTGTTGGTTTATGTATGTTATATGTTGATGCATAACAAAATAACGTATAATTACAGTGATACGTAACATTATGCAATTTTTTTTTTTGTCAATCGTTTGTCAGTCGATTAGGCAGCTCTGCTGATATCAGTTGCACCATCTTGGTTGATCTGATCTCGTCTGGTCTGACTGGGGGACTCACCTGCAGTCTATAGATCTGCATAATGATTAGGTAGATCTGCTCTGTGTGTCTGTAATCTTCTTTGGACCATTGTGCTATCTAGAACATTGTTTTTCAATGTCACTGGCTTAGCCATCAGGGAGAGTGTGCAAAAAAGATAGGTCAAGCTTCATCTGTGTCATGTTTGTTAACATTCTATTAGCCCGTGAAGAATACACAGATGAGCACAAAGTCAATGGTTGAGGAAATACATCAACCTCTTACGGAACTGAAAAGTTGCATGACAAAGAGCATAGATACGGAGAGGAATGAAGAATTGTGCCCAATATGTTAACATATCTAAGTTGAATGGTAAATTTTAGTTAATAGGAATATATTCTTCTATGTTCAAGAGAAATATAACTGTCCTAGTGTGATGAAAGTTTCTTATAAGTTGATGGAGCATTTAGCTTAATTAAATGACTGTCTTTGCTGATTGTCACTTTCTGATCATGGTTGATGTTTCACAGGAAAGACAGTCTTAATAAATTTCCATGTATCTTGGTTCCAATGCAAATGCAAATTTTGAACTATATTCCTGGCTTTGCCTGAATTGGAAGCTCTTATTTCAAAATTTAAAAAATTGTAATTTTCTTTAATATAAAGCTTTACTACCAAACTGTGTAACCTAACCTACTTTTCTGATTTTTTAACAATACATAGAAATATTTTCAACAAACTTTAATGTAAAAATGTAGGAGTAAATAATTTATTTAACTTCTTAGAAGTCATACACACTTAACTAAATGTCCCAGTCTAGTATCTTAATAGGCTGAGTGTATGTTGATAAAAATATTTTAATAAAAGAGCAAAACATATTTAAGGAGTGTGAATGCAATAAAAAATAAACTATATTTGACATATTCTGTAGGTCATTGGATTTAAAATCTTAACTTTTTAAAACAGAAGGTAGGAAGTAGGTAAATTATAATTTTGAAACTGTAATTAGCTTTCTGTTTTACAGAGGAAAACAAAACAAAAACTATAAAGAAGAAAAAATCTCTGAGTATCTGCAATTAGGTTGTTTCATTTTGGAAAATGCTTTTAAATGAACATTTAATTGCACAAATATAATGCAGAGATTTTTCAAGAACTTCAAAGTTATATATATATATATTTTATTTATTTTTTCAAAGTTATACTTTTAACTTGTATATACACATTTTAAATGACAAAGTGAGTATCTGTTTAATAGAAATGATTTCCTTGTGGGGTCTACAAAGTGACAGTGATGGACTATTCATTTCTAGGTATGAATTACATGATGTTTTTACTTTCAAGTCTTGGTGATGGTTTGGATAGTTGGAGCTTTTTCATTTTCTTTCTAAAGACCTGTGACAAGACCCTTAGTGAAGATGTTCAGAAGACTAAAGGGAGAATATGCAGAATTAATAGTCATGTAGTGGAGAAGTTATTATAAGCTAAATGTACATCACGTTATGTAAAAATTAATTTTTATGTCATGTTTAGTAATGAAGACTTTAAAAAATTTGGTAATGATGGACAGTGCCTTATGGTATGAGGATTCCAGGGGTTGTAAATGATATTTTTTATTGCATAAGCGTCCTTCCCTTCTGTTCATCACCTTAGAAAAAGATTATCTCTGATGGGGAAAAGAAGGAATTTAGATGGACAGGAAGGAGAAGAAATCGTGTAGGTCCTACATGAACACTGTTTCCTTAACACTGCTGCTCAGATACACAGTTCATTCAAGCTTAAACATATTCTGTTGATTAAAGTTGTTGCATTCTAAGCAGAAAGATAAAGCCTAGCACAAAGTATATACAAACAGTTCTAAACTTGTAGATCAGGGAAAAGAAATATCTAGCAGTGATTTTCTAGTTATATTTGGTGTTTATTTACCTTCTGCTATCACCAAAATGCAAGGAAATCTTTATAAAAATTATAGTCTTTTCTTCCATGTAAATGGCACGTTAAAAAAGATATAATTCCTATCTTACATAAACTTAATCCAATAATAGAATAGGAAAGGAACACTTTCTACTTCATTTTATGAGGTCTGTAACACCTGACTGAAAAATCACACAATATCTTACAAGGGTACATGGATATTGCTTAAAAATAGCAAAGCAAGTACATGGATATTGCTTAAAAATCACACAATATCTTACAAGGGTACATGGATATTGCTTAAAAATAGCAAAGCAAATTTATTGACATATAAAACAGTACATAATACTATCATAGTACATCATATATTCAAGAGGTTTTTAATCCAGAAATGCATGTTTAGTATATCATTTCTAAACCATCAATGTAATTCACCATATTGACAAAATAAAGTAAAACTACATATCCTCACCTCAGCAGATGTAGAGAAATAATTACTGAAATTAACCAAGTATCTATGACTAAAAAATGATCAGCAAACTGTGAACTATGAGCAGAAAGCATAGTGTCAAAGGAAGGGTTCATACTTTTTTTTTTTAATTTTTTTGGAGAATGAAGTATCAACAGCAGGTAAAACTTCAGCACTGGAAATTTAGCTACAGGAAGAAAAATCTCTTACGTGTATTTGAATCAATTACAGCAGAGATAAAGGCAGTGATGAAAAGTAGGAGCAAACTTGCTTTCCTTTTAGTAGCTTTAAAGTTTTTTATTAAGGTGAAATTTTCATAATACAAAAGTAAGTGTTTTAAAATGAAAAATTCAGTGGCATTAATATTCACTGTGTGGTGAAATCAGCACCCCTGCCTAGTTCCCAACCATTTTTATCACTTCCAAAGAATATACCATACACATTAAGCAGTTTTTCTCCAATACCCCCTCCCAGAAGCTTCTTTCACATAGCACTTGTTTTGAGGTTCATCCACATCGTAGCATACATCAGTACTTTATTCCTTAGGTAGTTGAATAATGTTACATGATAAGTACATACCACATTTAGTTTTTCCACTTATTCACTGATGGACATTTGGGTTTTTTTGTACTTTATGCCTATTGTAAATAGTGCTACTATAAACATTTGTTTGCAAGTAACTGTTTGAGTACCTATTATCTATTTTATTCACTGTATCTCCAGGAGTGTGTGTGAGTCAGGATTCACCAGAGAAACAGGACCAGTAGTCAATAGGGGAAGTTCCAGTCTGAGACCAAAGGCCTGAAAACCAGAAGCACCAGTGGTTTAAATCCCAGTCCAAGGTCAGGAGAGCAAATTCTCTCTTTCTCCACCTTTTTGTTCTATTCAGGCCCTCAGTGGATTGGATGAGACCCACCCAGATTGGGGAGGGCAATCTGTTTTACTCAGTCTACTGATTCAAATGCTCATCTCATCCAGAAACATCCTCACAGACACACCAGAAATAATGTTTAGCTACATGTCTGGTCCCCTCGTGATCCAGTCAAGTTGACACATAAAATTAACCATCACAGAGCGGAATTGCTGGATACCTGGAGTTAGGCAAACAGTAAGGTCTGAGGGCACAAAACTCAAGACTATTTTTACTTCTTAGACAAATAGCGAAAAACACCCTTTGGTCCACTAATTTTCTAGAAGGATTCAAACAGCTATGTACTGAGATCTGTAATACACAAAATTATGGTTTATTACAGGGTAAGGCTACACAAATAAATTACCCAAAGCAGAGACACATGGGGCACAGTATGGGAGGTTTGTAAAAGAGAAACTTCAGCTGTACTAAGGACACTTTATTATACTGACATTAATGTGTGACAAAACACACGGATTACTACTGGACAGAAAAGCTCACTCAAGCCTCCATGTTCATTTTTTAAAAAAAAACAATTCATGTTATTGCAAATGGCAGCATCTCCTTTTTGTTTATTTTTGTACTGAAACATAATTAATTGTACAGATCTGTGCAATATGTGATGCTCAAACCAGGATAATTAGTATATTCAGCCCTACACATTGTAATTATTTTTTATGGTCCTTTACCAATTCCTTGCTAACCTTTCTCCCCACCCTACATGTTCAGTTTTTATTTGCCCTCTATTGTGTAGGCATGATTGAGTGATTGGTTGTTCACATATTTTATCTCAGCCTTCGGGGTGACTGATACCCTGTGACCAAAAGTGACCACCCTAAATCACATGATTGATTTTTCTGGCATGGATAGACCCCACCATAAGATTGTGGATGTTCAACCCTACCTTAAGATGTGGTGTGGGCAGCCCCTTCCCAAAGCAGGCACTCCTATCAGATTAGATGTAGATTTCCTACCAGACTGAGAGCAAAACCTAGACCTCTCTTCGTGCA